GCACGTCTCCATTTTCTTCTGTCTTCTGCTATACTTTTCGCCTGCATCCATGTTAATCCATATTCTTTCAACTCCTCTTCACACAATCTCCTCCATGTCACCCTTGGACGTCCCACACGCCGCTTCCCTTTCGGGTTCCACTCGAGGGCTTGGCGCGCGATGTCACCCAGCGGTCTCCTCAGCGAGTGTCCGATCCATCTCCACTTTCTCCTGCATATTTGTTGGGTGATTGGTTCTTGCTTTGTTTGTTTCCATAATTCCTAGTTGGTGATTCTTTCCGGCTATCTGATCTTCAGTATAGATCAAGCGAAGACAGTTGTTAATAAAGGTCTGCAGCCTTTTGGAAATATACTTTGTGACCCGCCCGTCAAGTTTCTGATCCGTATAGAAGAACTGACTTGACGTTTGTATTGAAAATCCGAATTTTGTTGGTGATGCTGAGTGACGAAGATTTCCAGATTGATTTCGGGCTGATGAATGTGTTTCTCGCCTTCCCGATTCTCGATTTGACATCCTCGTCCGCTCCTCCTGTAGTTGAGACAATGCTCCCTAGATAAGTGAGTGAATGAAGTAACCTCTTTCAAATCCCTCCCGTTGATGGTGATTGACGTCGGATGTTGTTGCTGTTGTTGGTTGGTTATTTTCATAACCTCTGTCTTGTCTATGTTCACCTGGAGTCCTGTCTTCGCTGGCTGCTTATCCGACCAGTTTGTCGGTTTTCGCTTGCAAGTCTTCGATTGTGTGTGACATCAAACATAAATCATCCATGCGCGAAATCCAGGTCTTCTAGGTTCTTCACGTCGGTCCAGGATATTCGTGTCTTCTCGTTTCCCACAGCTGACGCATAATCCAGTCCACCACAATTAGGAATATCATTGTGATAGTAAGCACCCTTGTCTGACTCCTGTGTTTATCAAACGCCTCTCTGAGTCTTCCGTTGGATCACTTGGCAGGTGCCTTGTGTACAGCTGTTGAATAAGGTTGATGAATATTTGGGTACGCCATAGTCTCGAGTAATTTCCAAATTACTTCACGATCAACGCTGTCGAAGGCCTTCTCAAAGTCTATAAAGTTGAGGTGGAGGTTTGATTGCCATTCCATGCTTTGTTCGATGATGATGCGTAGAGTTGCAATTTGGTCAGTACATGATTTGCCTTTCCTGAATCCAGCTTGTTCTGGTCGGAGTTCTGTCTCCAGTGCGCCTTTAATCTCTCCAGGATGATGCGACTCAGGATTTTACTTGGCGTCGATAGGAGCATGATTCCTCGCCAGTTCTTGCAGAGTTAGTCCTTCTTTGGTAGTTTCACGAGGTACCTTTCCTCAGTCAGTAGGCACCTTTCCTCCTTCCAGACCTTTGCAATAATGGAGTAGCATGTCTGCTGTCGTCTCTGGGTCTGCTTTCAGTGCTTCAGGGGTATTCCATCTGGTCCGCTGTTTTCCAGCTTTCAGAGTTTGATTGCGTTCAAGACTTCAGCTCTCGTTGGAGGATTGGTGTCAACTTGCAGTTGTGTGCGCTGTTGTTGGTATTTCTGGACGGGTTGCAGGTGTGGTCGGTTCAAGAGTCCTTTGAAGTGATCCGCCCATTGTTTAATCTGTTTTCTTCCTTGTAATGGGCTTCCCTTGGCTGTCTTTTAGGTTTCGCTTGTGTTGGTCTCTTCCGGATAGAGATTTGGTTATCTGATATAGTGTCCTCAGGTCCCTTTTGCCTGCTGCCTTTCAGCTTCAGTAGCTAGATTGTCGTAGAATCGTCTTTTGTCCTTCCTAGCACTTTCTTCACTTCTTTGTCCATGCTTGTGACTCACGTCTCTTCTCTGTCCTCTTGCATTAATCATTTTCCTTTCACCATTCTCCTCTTCTATTATTCCAAGTGTCCGTTGAGAGCCATTCCTTGTCTTGTCTCTTCTTTCTTCCTAGAACCGTTGAACACGTTTCGTTGAGAATCGCCTTCAGAGACTTCCAATGTTCTTCCACGCATGATTCTTCAGTGCTGTCGCGTAGTGTTTCTGCTTTGCTCTGAAGTTGCAGTGAAGTGTCTTTTGTGGTGTGTCCTTCAGTAATTGAGTGTTGACTTGCATTGTGGCCTATCCCCAGCTATCCTCGAGGCTTTTAGTTTCACCTTGAAAGTCCCTTCTACTAGATAGTGGTCTGAACCCACATCTGCTCCTCTCCTTGACCTTGTGTCCAGTAGGCTCCGTCTCCACTTTCTTGAAATTGAGATGAAGCCTATTTGGTTCTTGGTGTTTCCATCGGTGAAATCCATGTCGTCTTGTGTATATCCTTGTGTTTGAACACACTACCACCAATCACCAAGTCATTGAAGGCGCAGAAGTCTGAGAAGAGTTCACCATTGTCGTTCATTTCCCGAGGGCCTCACGACCCATGGTGAGTTCTCTTCCTGTGTTGTCTCTCCCAGCTTCGCATTCATGTCGCCCATCAGGATTTTGATATTGCCATTTGGGACGTTGTCCATTATTGCTTGTAGTTGTCTGTAGAACGCCTCTTTCTTCTCTTGTTCTGAGACGTTTGTGGGCGCATAACATTGAATGACTGTAACTTTCCTTCCTTTTGAGTTGAACCTGGCTGTCATTATCCTGGAGGAGATTAGTTCCCACTGCATGAGAGCTTTGGCTGCTGTTGGTGACATCATGATGGCCACTCCCTCGGTGTGCTCGTGGTTGTCCTCTGGGTGGCCGGAAAGATTACTGTCTCTCCAGTAGGTAGTTGGCACCTTCCAGTTCCGTTCCATCTGCTCTCGCAGATTCCCAACACTTCTATTCTGTACCTTCTCATTTCAGCGGCTATCTGGGCAGCCTTTGCAGTTTCGTACATTGTGCGAACATTCCAGGTACCCATCCTTACTTTTGCTTTCATCGAAAGAAGGCACATCGGCTGACTGGCTTCCCGAAGGCTTTCACCAGCCTGCGTCATTTCACTTCCCCGATTCCAGCGAAAAGTAAGGCTATTGCTTATGTTTTTAGAATTTTTATTATATTATTCGTTGAAGTTTCTGTAGCGATTTGGTTGTTTTACAGGGGTGGAGTTGCTAGCACCACGCCCCAACCCTCCCTCTTTACCCGGGCTTGGGACCGGCGAGAAAACTAGTAAGCTAGTAGCCTAGCAAGCTAGTATTTGGCCAGGTTAGTATTAGTATTTCAAGATGACCGAATTACACGAATCCAACAAAACACAGAGAGGGTCGAATTCAGGAATTTGTATTTAGCGGAATTATTATTCAATTCATATAAGAACCATATTAACAATCAACAGTGAGTATTTAAACAATACAGAGATAGAGATTGTCAGTCACCACATCCGCCACACGTCGAATATCTCCTCGCGTATTTATAACGATGTCTCGGTTTGCTTGCAAGTAGCTGCGACCTTCTAACTGATTCTATGATATTATTTTCATCAGTATTATCTGGACTTATTTCAGAACTATCTACAAAATCAGGATTAGTAACGGAATCATTACAATAATAATTGGAACGACCTACTTCATTTATTGTCACTTTGTCCAGGTGTCTATTATGAACTGAGTAATGTCTAATATCTTCACCACTCTATTTCCCATTTTTTGTAGTATAATTCCAACAGAAGGTCTATAGTCATTCCCTTTGTAATAATGTACATTAGAAGTCGCGGACATCAGATGATTTTTGGGAATTCGAGATTTGAAAAGTTTTGCAGGACTTTCACGGGTACTTGTATGTTCTGCATTCAACAGACGCAGTCTATGCATATGCAACAATTCCTCCATTTTAATCAGTTGCTCTCTCATCTCATTCAGTTTTTCTCGTATTTTCGACAGTTCACATTGTAACTCGGCTACCACATTTTTGAAAACAGTTGACGCTTGAGTTGCTGAACTTGCAGTGGAGGTTTTCATTGGATGAGATTGAGTATTTTGAAAAGTTGAAAGACACATTAACTCCATTTTACTAGACAGATTGGGAGAGTTATAAGAATGCTGAGTAACATAAGTATTCGAACTTCTGCAAACCGTCTTGATGTGTCCAACTTTGCCACATTTGTGACACTTAGCACCCCGAAAACGGCAAGTGCTTCGTAGATGTAACTTTCCACAGGAAAAACACGATTTAATGTTTTTGATCTCTCGCTGCATTTTATTTATTACATGTGGACGACAGTTTGGATTGCTTTCCATGAACACTTGTATTTTCGACTTTAGAAAGCATGACATCAGATACTGATGTAGTGGGAGCAGAGTATTCACTGTTGACATCTTCATATGTAATACATAAATCTTTAGCAGTTTGAAATGTACAAGAAGGAATCTGAATTAACTCTTTCTCTAACTTAGGAATATTGATTCCAGCAATTAGACGATCACGTAGTTGAGTATGCAGCTGATCTCCAAAGTTACACTTTGAAGCTTGTATTTGGAGTTGCAGAATAAAGTCTCTTATCTTCTGCTTGGGAACACGAACCAGTTTATGGAATTGAGCCCTCTCTCTGGTCTCAAATGTAGTTACATGAAAGTGATTTATCAGAAGTTCACGAATCTTGACATATGACAGAGAAATAGGTTTATCTGGAAACGCCACATTCTTCACTAGGCTATATGCATCTAGCTCAATAGCAGTGATGAAATGTACTGGTATTTTGTCATCCCGAACGTTCTTTGAAATGCATCATGCATCGAAGCATTCAAGGTAATCAGCAATTTCCGGCGGAGAACCATTTATAGAGAATTTTCCAAGGTTATTTAGTTCCATCACGACGCCAATTTGTTGTAATTATTTGTAACCGTAGTATTAGTATTTCAAGATGACCGAATTACACGAATCCAACCAAAACACAGAGAGGGTCGAATTCAGGAATTTGTATTTAGCGGAATTATTATTCAATTCATATAAGAACCATATTAACAATCAACAGTAAGTATTTAAACAATACAGAGATAGAGATTGTCAATCACCACAGTTTGGTGCAGTTTTTTTTCATAGTGATATATATATATATACATATGAGGTAAGTTAATTCAAGTTCATTTCTGAAAATTTCACAGCACTACGACCTAATGCCTCTGCCTTGGCAACATCTAACAACTCCGGAGATGTTTGGCACCAACCAGATCGTCTACGATTAGCAACTAGCGAGGTATACTCTGGTGACTTAAATGGAGATTGTTTGCTTGCATTGTCTGTTAAATGTTGATGGTTTTTCCGTGTGGATGGTGATGCTTTTGGCGATTCAAGTTTAGGAGTGGACTCGAGTACATCTTTACGAGATCTGCTTGAGTTTTTCTTTAGACTAGCGAAAAAGTCATCACTATCATTATCATCATCACTGTCTGAGAACAAATCGATAAGTCGAGTTCTAATACGCTGTTGACTTGGTAGACTTGTATCTCCACTGCCGGAATTCGGTAAACCGGATTTCGGTATAAGTGACGTCGATTCAACTGGTGTGGATTTTTTATTTGGCGAAGATGCATGTAGACTCTTTACAGCATTACGTTTAGAAGCGTGGTTAGTACTGTTTACTGTTGAACCCTTAGAAATATTCTTATCCGCCCTTGAAGAAGTACCCACAGGTGATATATTCTCCAATTGTTTTGAAGGACTACTACCAGGTGGACGACCTCTGGGCTTTTTAGTTGGTAAACTGTTTGGTGTTTTTGAAATGGAATTGTTAAGATCTAAATTTTCAACTGAATTCAAACCACGTGAATCGTTGGACTTTAATACATCTTTCTTATTATATTTACGGAGTGTTGGTGGAGAAATAACCCCCGTTTCATTAGATTCCTCAGTTAACTTATGACTAGATGAAACAGTTTGTTTGCCAATCGATGACTTAGCACTGTGCAAAAGTTTACGTAAATAGGCATAATCTGGTGTATCTGAAAAACCCAACTGTTTGATTGACTGAATGAATGCCTGTATATCAGCATCTGGTCCATAACCAGCTTGTAATACAAATTCTGCAGGATTTTTCATTGTTTTCTCTTTTAAATCAGCCACTGACACTTTAACACGATCAGGAACATTAGCGCGTAATTTAGGGTCTGAAATGAGATTCCACTGGTCTTCCTTGGGGATATCCCCAAGGAAGACCAGTGGAATGTAACTGAGGAGCATTGAGATGAGATCGAGCCAACCAATGAATAAGATTGAACAGTAGAATTTCCAAATCTCCACGACGAGATGGAGGGAGTCCAGTATGTGCATCTCGTGAACAAAACTCTATTGTTCCATTGTGTCGAAATTTAGGATCTGGTTTCTCAACAGTATGTACACCTTTTGAACGAAATAAGTGGACTAGACCAAAGTCAGCTAAATAAACCTCTTGTTTGGACGATAAATGAAGAAGATTAGAAGCTTTAATATCTGCATGAGCGTAGTCTCTTGAATGCATATATTCTAGTGCACTTAGCACATTTGCGCTGACTTCAAGAATACCAGATGCAGATATTTCACGATTCTTTAATGTGGATTCGAAATCTCCAGAGAAACGATCCATCACAAGGAATCGAAGAGCTGTTTTATTTAGATTAATCGACCTACTGCTTATATATCTCGGAATGCCAAGGTATTTAAGAGAATGACTCGACTTCCATGAGTTGATTGCATTCTCAGAACATGCTCGCATGTAAAAATGCATTTCAGTAAAAAGCGGTCCATTTTCTTGGGGTTCTATCTTAGCAGCATAATGATAAGCTTTTTCACCCTCAAGTTTAACTTCGTAGATTCGGCCGAAACCACCCTGACCGATCGCATTACCAATGACCCACTTTCTTTTAAGTGAGTCTTGTAACACTGTTCCGGTTTCTACAGGTTGTGCCAAGCTGTAAGCAGTCGTCTTTACAGCACTACATTCCCGAACTGACATATCTAGTTAACTTAATAGCTGTAGCCATAGAGGCAAAATTTTCATGATAATTTGTTTGATTACAAGTTCATAAAATTGAAATAAACTTATCTAATTTAATTTTTTAATTTTTGATTTACAGCTTGATTCCACACTATATTTAATATGATTATGAACAATAAATTGTGTTAGACACTTCAGCCAACATAAAATACTGTGTGATATATCCAATAGCAAAAGGATTTAGCGAAGAAATACTTACCTTTGAATTAGTTTGTCATCTATGACTCTAAGATATATGTATATATAATTAAACAGTGTTTGAAGGTGCTAGAAAAGTAGGTTCCAGCATATTTACTGGCGTAAGCAGAAGAAAGAAACAAAGCTGCACATAACAGAAAAAGAGAGAGAGAAAAGGAAAAAGAAAGAAAGAAAAACGTTGTACCTATAAAATGATATGAGTTGGAAAGACGAGATCCAGTTGTTCTACTGACTATTTAATAAGTTATAGGTATCACTCCTAATGTTTTCTTTATCGCACAGAACACAAGCTAAGGAGGGTATGGTTGAGTTTTTGTACTTACTAGTGCGAGCATATAGTTTTCTATATAGGCTTCTGGTTTTGCCTGAAGGGATACAACGGGAGAGTTGTGAATGAAGAGGGTGGTGTGAGTTAGATAAAATGGATTTTGCCCATTTTTCATATGAGTCCATGTGTCTGTCACCTAGAATATTAACAAGCTGGTTAAGTAGCACGTAGCTTACCCTGCTGACAACCTTCAACATCCTGCATAATAAGGTATAGTCTTTCTTCAGTAGCAAGCCCTGGAAAAACTAAGGGAGAACAATAGAGAATAATAGGCAGAATGTGAGAGTAAAGGTTGGGTTATTCCAGAATGTCTTAACTTCTTGATGTAGAAGGTAAGACGGAATATTTTCTTAGAAATCATCAAGATATGAGACAACCAGGAAAGATCAACAGATAGAATGACGCCAAGATATTTAATTTCCTATTTGGTCACTATTTCAGTGCCATCTATGTTGCACACCTTGTGAATGCTAACCAGTTTGTTTAGGTCAGATTTGTGCCTGTTTGGCATTTGGAGGGGTTTAAGGTGAGACCGTTTTCCTTGGACCATTGGCTGACTTCTGATAAAAAGCCGTTTAGTTTAGTGCAGTCACTTTAACATTTGACAGGCAAAGATACAGTAAGGTCGTCAGCATATTTGACAAAATTAATGTCATTTGAAGATGGTAGGTCATGTAGAAAAAAAGAAAAGAGAAGTGGGGAAAGTACAGCACCTTGGGGGACACCAGCTTCAGTGAGCACAGCAGAGAAGGATTTTCCTTTGTATACAGTATACTGCATTCTGTTAGAGAATTAGGAATGCAACCAGTTGGTGACCCAGGACTCGGTTTGTGTCATGGAGAGCTTATTTAGCAAGAGACATCTAGGTACAGAGTCGAAAGCAGAAGTGAAGTCGAGAAACGTGCAGCGGACGTATTTGGCACCTTTACCTAATGATGAGACGATACTGTTGTGTAAGACGACTGCAACGTCTAAAGTACTCCTACCCTGTCTGTAGGCGAATTGTTTGGGGTCTTCAAAGCTTTTAAGGGAAGGTTTGAGTTTAAGAAGTACTAGTTTTTCCATAAGCTTTAGAAACGGGGAAGTGATGGCAATGGGTCTGAACTTTACGTTCTTGCTATTGCCAGGTTTAGGGACAGGGACTATTTTAATGTCTTTCCATGGAACAGGTACAACGTTTTCGGAGAAAGAAGCATTTAGGATGTTAGTTAGAGGAGAACATAAAGCATCTGCGCATTGCTTTAGAACATATGCAGGTATGCCATCAGGACCAAGACTACATGAGGGCTTAAGAGTTTTAAGACATTTTAAAACATCGAGAATGTTAAAGTCCTGGAAGTTATCAGCTACATGATTAGTAACGTTAGAAGTATTTATAGTAGAAGGAGAGCGTATAAAAGACTGATTAAAAGCATTAACATCATAAGAGGGAAAAACATTACATCGCTTACTATTGCCAGTAATTTCATTGAAAAGTTTCCATATGCTGATAGGAGATTTGCATGATAAAAGTGTTTGGTTATAGATAGCATTAAGAGTTTTGATTTCAGATTTGATTTGAGCATTAATCTTTTTAAGTCCTAACTTATCTTTGAGTTTATATAATGTTTCTTTTTGCCTGTGAAGTTGTTTGAGATGAGCAGACGAGAAGCGGTCGAGGCGTTTGAATAGTGTTTGTTTGGTACAGCATATGTCAAGGCAGAACTTAAGATAATCCGTTATATTGGTGATTGAGTCATTTAATGTACTTTCATAGAATAAATCCCAGTTAGTATTTTTTTAACATGCATCTTAGATTGAGTATGTTGTCAGATGTGTAGCATCTTTGCTGTGCTTTCATAGACAGGTGTGAGAGGACTTTAATATGCGTTTTGCTGTATATTTTTGGTAATAAACAAATTAATATGGAATTGCATACTAGCACAGTGCCCAAGTTTTGCACAGATATCAACTTTTTCTTTTTACTATAGTCTAAGCTGAAAATAGTGAGTGAATCCCAAGCGCGTTTACTGCCATTAAAGAAAAAGTGCTTTCAGTTAAATTAATCCCACATAGTACTGTGATGATGAGTAATAAATTATTTGCGAAATGTCATTTCGATCTTAGCTAATGCTAAATCAGTGTGTGTACTTTATCACAGGAAAACCCGCTTGAAATAGGAATACACTTCTTCAGACACACCATATTCTTTCGCCATAACAAAAGCTGACTGCTGGTAATTGCAGACGCACAAATGATCAGTTATTCGTGAGAAAAGTATATAGTTTTCTTAATGCTATCACTTTTAGTTGTGTTTCTTTATAACTCAGCTGACACTTTAAAGTCAAAGTGCTGTTTATAATACACATCATTTATAAGACCAGAACTAACTTATTTAAATATCTGAGTTTTTAGCATAAGAAATTCACAGCCTTCTCTCATACATCAATTGCTAAACATCTATTTCCCAGATTATTATCTATACAGGATACAAGTGATTAATTACTAACCAAAACTACGATCAGAGACTACAGCCAGTGTTGTAAGTGGCCTCTGGTTAGCACCATCTTTGTGTACTTATTTCTAAAAAAATTAAGAGTCTAACCCTAGGTGCAATCAATCTTGTAAAGTACACTCTGCAGATATTCTTCAACCTCGTTTATAATACCATTTTCTGGTCTCCTTTACTTAAATAACGACTGACATTTGTGGTACTGTGTTTGTGATATTTTTTTCACTTTTAATTTCAATCATAACATTCAGATTCAGATTTATTGGTTGAGGATAGAAGGCTTGGAGCCTATGTTAATCCTTTTCTAGTAAATTTCTGTGGTTGTCCGAACCCTTCTTGAACGAATCAGTTGAGGTTGCAGACACCACTTCTTCTGGGAGTCGGTTCCAAGAGTTTATGACTCGATGTGAGAACCAGTACTCAACAGCAGTATGTTTTCTTCTTGGCTTTTGAACCTTCCCGCTATGTCCTCTAAGGTGTTCCTACCTGGTGGGAAGGAAAAGAGAGAATAGGTCAGGTCCGTAGTCATTATTTAAAATTTTAAACATTGTGATTAAATCTCCTCTCTGCCTACGGTATGACAGTGAGAAGAGAGTCTTTCCTCTTATGATAAGTTAGTCATGCCATGAACTATACGTGTTGCCTTCCTTTGAACCCTTTCTAGAATGTATGAGTCCCCTTTTAGACAAGGACTGGCGGTCTGGACGCAGTTTTCCAGTCTTGGTCTCACCAGAGATGTATATAAAGAGGTGAACATATCTCTGGTGATTCTAGTGAAGGCTCTGCGAATAGCCCATAAGGACCTGAAACTACGCACAGCCACCGCGGACAGTGTGCTGTAATTTTTAAGTCGTGGCTAACTATGACACCTTAGTCCTAGTGAGTCTGAACTGATGGAAGTGTTATTCCCTCTAGTTCGTAGGAGCTTGTGCTTGCTTGTCCAATGCGCATGGTTGCACATTTTGCTACATTTATCGGGAGCATCCATTCTATGGACTACTCTGACAATTTGTTGAGGTCCTCTTGCAACGTAGACGTGTCACTGTTGCCCTTCATCCTTCTCCAAATTTTTAAGTCATCTGCGTATAGGACCATAGGGGAGTCGGTGAGCAGAGACAACTTATTGATATACAAACTAAGTAGGAGAGGTCCGAGTACCGTGCCTTGTGGCACTCCGCTACGTACTGCTGTCCAAGAGGAGAGTTTCGAATTGATCCTAACCATCTGCCTCCTATCTATGAGGAATTCCCTGAGCCAGTTTAGTAATCTGCCTTTGATACCAAGATTTTCCAACTTCATGAGTAGTCTTTTGTGAGGAACTTTATCAAAGGCCTTGCTGAAGTCTATGAAGACGACGTCAGCAGGTCTTCTGTTGTCCGTCAATTTGACCCAGCTTTCTCTTGCAGTGGGGAGATTTCACAGACATAAGAGGTTTGTTAGGAAGCAGTGCTGTGCTCTGGATAACAAGCTGCTGTTTTTCAGATATGCCATGGTGCTTTTCTTGATGATTCTTTCCAGTGTCTTGATTAAAGTGCTGGCGAGAGTGATAGGCCTGTAATTTGAAGGGCTTTGTATTGATCCTCCTTTGTGGATGGGGTTACTATGGCGTCTTTCCAGTCATGCGGTAATACTCCATTTAGAATAGATAGCTTGAAGATCGTGGTCAAGGGGCCGGCTATGTGGGCTGATAGCTCCTTGAGAAGCCTTGGATGAAGGTTATCAGGAGCCATTGGTTTCCCTGCATCTAGTTTCATTATGCAGTTGAGCACGATGCCTTGGTTAATGTCAACGGAATCTATCCCATGTTCTTCTGATGCAACCAGATCTGATGCTATAGGCAGTGATGACTCCTGAGTGAAGACTTGAGAGAAGTAGCTTGCCATTGCTTCTGCTTTTTCTCGATCTTCTTCGATTCTATCATTGTCAATAGTCAGGTTTGGGACACCATTGGATGTTTTATTCCTGAAGTTCATGTACGAGAAAATTTTCTCAGGTTGTGTCTTTGCATTTTGAGCCAGGTGTGGGTCACACTTCATCCTTGATTGGCGGATTTCTGCAATAGCTTTATTTCTAGCAGTGTTATATAATTTCCTTGTCTAAGAAATCTCAAGTGTGGCAAACAGGTTCCAACATTTGTGTTTACGTCTGAGCAACTTACAAATCCCTAAGTTTATCCAAGAAGGGCAATATTTCCGACCCTTTGGGACAGACCGAGGGATGAAAGGTTCAGTTACTTGGGCGTAAAGTTGTTTAAATTGGTTCCATGTGGCTTCTACTTGGGACTCTGGGTTGATGTACCAGTTTACTGAATTGGCTGCTGAGACGATTGCAATTATATCAGCTTTCGAAACGTTTGGTCGAGCTGGGGTTTTGACCCTTGCTGCCGTTGCTGTGAACTTGAAAGTGAGCACAGCATGGTCACTTCTTCCTAACGGAGGAAGATGTTATATGAGACCCACATCCTCACCGTGTGAGAACACTAGGTCCAGAGTTGACGAGGAGTGCTGTGAGTCATAGCGCGTGGGCTTAATGATATGTTGGACTAGGGCTAGCAATATACTAGATTCTAGCAGTTTATGATCAAAGGAGTTGACTGAAGATGGAGTTGTTAGGCTCGACCAGTCAACTGTTGGGGCGTTGAAGTCGCCGACTACGAGACTTCGACATTTTGAAGTCCAGGAGCCTAGCTTCTCTATTAGGAAGTCGTCTGCACTGCAGTCAGGACTGCGGTACACAGCAATGAGGTCAATGTCTTGGCCTATGCATATAAGTCTGCAGCGTAGAAGTTCGCACGACTCACTTTCGTGGGCGAGTGCTTCGATACTACGCACGGTTAAGCCTTTCTTGAGGTAGATGACTACGCCCCCTCCTTTGTGGTTTAGTCGGTCTACCCTGTGCACTTCGAAGTTTGGCAGGTTAACTTCGTTGTCAGTGACATCGGGTGTGAGCCATGTCTCTGTGATAATAATTACATCCGGGTTTCCGGTTTCTATCATATTTGCCAGCTCAGTCCTTTTATTTAACAGGGTGCGGGCGTTTGTGTAGCAGACTGTTAATTCAGATTGGTGCTTCCCCGGCCCACCCACAGAGGTTTCGGGATCATTAAACTGTGAACTCGGGCAACCCGAAAACCCTTAATCTTAAGGTTCTTCTCACCGTTCCGGCGTCGCCCACTTAATTCTACTGCCGCAGCCTGTCTTTTGACACGGTCTGCTAGGCTTAAGTCAGCGCGGACAAATATCCCTGATCCTTTGAGAATATGAGAGTTGCTTAGAATAGCATCCCTCTCTGCTTTAGAGTTTAGTACGACTTTGAGGAGAAGTACAGGTTCACTTACTGTAGGGTCAGGCTTTTGACCTATTCTGTATACGCTGTGTATAGTAATGCCTGATACTGTTTGTGGCAGTAGCTTGTCTAAAAGGGGCTTGACCAAGTTAAGGCCATGCTCGAATCTGGCCTTAGGGTCGAGGGCCAGGGACTCCTCCACTTTGTGGAGAATGAGAGACCTGTCAGAGAGATCGGGTTCGCTTTCCGTGACTTTCTTGCCCTGAGGCGTAAGTGTGTTTCTATCCTTCTTGGGCGGTGTAGCCGAAGTGTTATCCTTATCTCGCTTTTTGCGAGAGACTACAGTGCGCCATTCATTGGCGTCCTCCTCGCTAATCGTAATGGGGTTCGTCTGTCTGCTGCTCACCGGTGTTGGATGAGGCTTGATCCACCAGTCCCTGGGCGACTTGAGCTGTAGGTTTTCGACTTCTGGTATGCCTCTTCTTTGTGGCAGTCTTTCCGTTACTGTCATTGGCGGGCTTATCCAGTATCGTGGGGGCAGCCTAAGTGTCTGGAATATGGTGGGTGTTCTTCTGTGCTGAAGGGCATTCACTTATTGGCAAGGACGCATTGGGGACATGTGCTGTTTTTTCGATGACGCTAGTCACGTCATCGTTATCTGAGCAATAGTCGGTATTCTCCTGTGGTGGCGGACACTTGCAGTCCATGAGCTTTAAAGCCCCACTGAGAGTGGCAATGGCTTCTGTAATACGGAATTTAGTTGTACTACAACAGTCATTGCACAACCAGTTTGCTAGAGGTTTGCAGCAGCGTTTGTATGCTGCAGAAGCAAGGTTCGTGCATATACTGTGAAACCATCTCTTGCAGTTATCACACTGCATTCCCTCATCCACTGGAAACTGGCACATAACCCTTCCGCAGCGGTTTCTTTTGATAGGCATGCTTTTTAAAACGGACTGGGGAAAAAATTAAATATGACTTCAAATATATATATAACCTTTATAAATCAGTGATAAAAAGCCAATGAGTGCACAAACATAGATACATATAACTATTAAGTTATAAGAACACAACTTCCTATAATTTAATAGACTCAAATCTGAAAGGTAAACTAAACTCGATCAGAATAAACTGATTTAAAGATAATCTGTAAATTTTTGGAGCGTATAACACAGCAAAAGCCAAAACTAAAAAAGAGCGTGTAAAATTCACTTCTTTTCAAAGTTCACGCGATAGCGGTATTTATAGTGAAAACGGTTTTCGAAACAAATTTCTCCATTGAATAAGGCGGATTATTAAATTGTTTCTGTCAAGGTGTATATGACAGACATGGGGGGGGAGAGAGAAAGAGGGGGTCACCCACTTTCTACTTAAACGAAAAAAAACATCAAGATAAGTAGATTAGCGCATAACAAACTGTAAATTCATCACTATAAAAAGTCAAGAGGCAAGCTGTGTGAATTTATCTTCTTCTCACTTAAAAACAGTAGAAGTGTTTAAAATCATGTTTCGATTTGACTACCTTGAGCTATTTTCCAACCTGATCCTATGTCAGTCAGCTAACATTTCCCATTGACGATGGCGATGGATGGCTAGGAATGCAAGTGTAACACATGTCCTAATCATCTCAGGAAGTGTAACTTCACAACCTCGCCGATGGATTTCCCTTACCTCCTTACCTAGCACTCAATCGATGCATAACCTCAATATTGCTCACCTTATACTTCCACTTAAGGTGAGATATAGAAAGCAGGCACCTGTGATCAAAGACAGATAGGCTTTTCATGTCTTCCACTTTCAATGGACATTTCTCACTCACAGCCAGCCATAAAGCAGGACAGAGAGAAGTGCTGAGCGCTACACACGTCCTTTGCTCGACAGCCAGCTGGACATCACATCCATGTCGGAGATGGCCTAAGCTGGGGTATACCAAACGAGTCTTCTGTATCCGTGGTTAGTTTTCATCAGCAATCGACCCGTTGGGCTGATTCAACTTCCCAAATAAGTGAAGTGGACAACACGTCCTACCACTTCACTATCTATCTTTTAATTAGGAGTCGTTCTATTTCAGTCCAGTCGTGTAGCATTATCTTACATTTTACGGGAGCGAATCGCATGCAAAACATTCGAAGATTGCTGCTCAAGATGTTCCGAAAACTGTACATTCTGTCAAAGTCGTCACCTAGGAGAACAATATCATCTGCATACTCTCAGTCAGCGAGACTGCACTCTGTTTGGTAGCAGGTCAATCCCTGAGTCATTTAGGGTTAAGTCCATTAGTACATATATGCTAAACTGTGCGATTCATTTCCGTTTCCGTAGTCAGCAATAACTTCACTAAAAAAAACAGTATTCAATATCTTTGGAAGATGGAATCTCATACATCTTGACTTTTCTACATTTCGAGGTATAAACATACTCATTATACAATGACACATGCATATATATACGTGAAAATGAGATAAATAATATTCTACGTTTGTGCACAATTATATTCCAAAATTTAAAATGAAGACAGATCAAGGGGAAGGCGCCAATCATGAACGCACATGTAAATACGTCCATCAAAATAAATAATAATATTATCATTAATACAGTCAGATTAGAAATGTAATCAAATCAAAAAATAGGAAAAGAAAAAGACTCTGCTCATTTGCTTCCATAGGACTGAGAAAATTATACATCATAAATATTATTTTTCTTAAAGAATATTACAACACTTTTAGGGTAAACAAAATATAGAAACATTATTCATTCACACGAACATTTCAATTTTAAAGTGTTCTCTGCTATTTTAACAGGAATACCTGATAGTTTTTGAGAATATTAGACGAGTATCAATAATATTTACATACTATATATTCCTGATAATATATACATACGAAAGTTAGGAAATTACGAAAAAGGAGAAAAACAGCTGAAACAGAAAGAAACGAAAGGTAAATCAACAATGAAACGTGAAATGAACTAAGTCAACACTTTTAGTTCAAAAGTCGAAGAATGAAGAAACAACTCTGTTTAACTCTGAATCCCTCCTTTTTTTCTCTCTCTCTCTCTCTCCTCTTTCACATCGAAACGGATAATCTGATAGTAATCACTGTGTTTTGTTCACATGAGCTGCTGTAGCCTTTGAACAGAAACAAGATTCGAAATGCAAAAGACTTTTCTTAGTTGTACTGTTTATGTGTTGTTCATTCAGTCTCAAGGTGAGACCGTTAATAGACAATTATAAGTGTACAGAAAATTGAATGTTTTTTAATATAAAGTAACTTCGAAATACTTTCACAACACAATTCATTGAAATGGAACTTCATAAAATAATTAATTTTATTTCTACATGTGAACTGGAATACATCACTTTGAAACGGTTTTTTGAAAATAAATTATAAGCCCAGTGATATAGACAAGAAATAGAAATAAAATGGTTGTTAAAAAGTGTGAAATTGTCATAAAAAGACCACTACAGACACATGGTATACATACACGTACGAGAACAGATTCAACTGTCTGGCTGGGATAAAGTTAAACGAGTATTCTTCTCCCCTGGATACACTGACTTCACTTCATCATAAGTGAATACGATTCAGTTGTACTGAATCACTGAAAGACATGCTAAACTGTATGACATATATATATATATATACGCATAAATGTTGACTTATGCTAAACGGGTGTAGCGGGTGTTTCAGCTGTTGGCGTTAATTTGGAAGAATGTTCAATTGGTGGTGAAACATTTTTATTGTTCATATTATTAATGTTAATACCATTGCTATTATTGTCAGCATTATTATTGATGCTAATGTTGTTTCTCTGTATACCATCGTTTGTTCGAAGTAGTAGTAAACGACAATACTGACCTAGTAATGGACTATCACTAGGCGGATATGGTGTCAATAGGTAGTCCGGTATACTATTGAAAATGTTTGTTTGAGGTAAATAGGCGGAAGAGTTATGAGACTCATACAGTTTATTTGTTCTTGTGCTTGTTATGGTTGGTGTGGGTGTTGTTGTTGTTGCTGCTGCTGCTACAAAACTAGTTGCCTTAGGGGTAACATTTTTGAAAGATAAACCTAATGAAAGACTAGATGGCCGTGTTGATATTTGCTGACTAGGCCGTTGTTGTTGTTGTTGTTGTTGATGTTGTCTTTGTTGTGATGATGCTGATGATGATGATGAGGAATAATGAACAGTGTCAGTATTTATTGTTGAATTTAAATGTGTTAATGACGGCAGATGAAATGAATTATTAGCACTGTGTGAATAGTCTGTATGCACACTTAATGGTCTTGAATGTCTGATTCGTGAATCACTGACACCTTTATTTCGTGTATAATAAAGAGAAGATAAACCATCGGTTCTTAGTCCACTAGAACCCGAAGAATCACTCTGTTCATACATTGATTGGATCATTAGATTGGGAATGTTGTAGGCGACTTTATTACCATTGCCATTATTATTATTATTACTATTGTTAATTTGATTAGAACAGTTATACGGGAATGAAGTAGGCAATGAACTATTTGAAAGTCGAGCTGTTGGTGAACTTCTAGAAAGAATTAAACTGTTCCGTTGTCTTAGCCGGTCAGCTAAATTACTTGGTAAGTTTGATGGTTTGTAGGGCAATAGATGAGACCACCAGACTGTATCATTTTCTGAATCCAAATCACTGACTTCTTTATCAGTTAGTTTATCGGCTGCAATGCTCATATTATCCAATGGTTTAATATATGAATATCTGTTCTGATTGGATGTTCCATAAAGTGAAGTAGATAAAATCTGAAACAAATAAATCAAAACTACTTCAGTTACATAATGTATGGTAAACGTTTTAGAAAAATGACATCTATTCTATCAAGTGCTGGACAGTCGTTTCGTCCTAGCTTGAGACTCACCAGCAGTGCGCACCCACCGGGTGCTCGCTAGTGACTAGCTACAGGATAAAGTTTCCTGGTGTTTGAGTGAGAATTTGCGACCAGTAGATGGAAGTGAGGACAAATACTCATCGATGATTTTGGCTTGTGGTAGCGCACGAATTGATAGAAGTTAGAATTCCATGGGCTGGCCATTGTTAGGGTCTCAGTGGCTTGATGATCTAAGAGCTTGACCTGTAACTGGAAGGTCCCGGGTTCGAACGAAACCCAGTGGGTTCGTACTGGTAGTGAGTCCCAAACTAGGAAGAAACAGCTGTCCAGTACTTCCTGGTTCTCAATGGTTCTCTGAGTGATATCAGTCCGTGGTCAAACTTGGAAGACCTGTTTTCTTACTGTATGATAAATTTAATCTAAATCCACATATCTGTTAGTGAAAAATCGATCTGACCAGCAGACTTCCACAAATTATTCTGCAATTTGCACATTTCACCAGTAAACAGTTCCCCAGATGAAATGATATAAGTGAATATATTTCGCGACCTATAACTGCCAGTATATGTTCATGGCCAAAATGTATCTTCCTCAACTGATCCTATCTATCTTGTAGGTGATGTCGGTTTGTAATCAACATCTAGTGCATAAAGTTTCAGTATTCTAACAGTAATTCCACAAAGAGTAGGATGATATCCCTTGACCTTTCATTGGATAGTTTTAGTTGTTGGCAGGCATCTTTTGATGAAGTTTTGTGGATATCCATATTACTGGATATTCTCATGATATGTATCCACATATAGATATTTATGTGTGTGTGCATGTTGGTCTCTCTTTCTGTTTGCTCGGTTAGTCTGTGACCACTTCACTTGTATGAACTTGTCTCCTTTAATAATGTGTATTCTCCTTATATTATATTATATATAATATGAGTGTTTGTTGACAGTCCGTTGCTTGGTGACATATATCCATATATGTTTGTTGGCATGTCTGCTATATTCGCTATGTATAATTGGATCGACACTCCATTATAATTAGCCATTCATGTTAAGACTGTCTAATGATTTTTCCCACGCTTGTCTGAATTATTTATATATATTCGCATTCACAATTTGTGTGAACTACTTTACAACTTCTTGACTTGCTTACCACTTTGGTGTGAGACCATTTATTTTCGTCTCCTTGTATTTGGACAATAGAAGTATCATCGCAAACCTAGTGGTCTTCTGATTTCCGCCTTCTCGCGTCAGGACTATTAGTTTCTCGACCAGTCCATAACAATAATTCAGCGACGAGTACATAACAATTTGGCGACGGGGAAAAACTACTATTAACCACTCAGCAGCAGCAACATAACAATTTACTATGGATTATTCTAAATTGGAATTATTGTTTGAACAACAATTGAAATTAATGGAAATGTTCGTCAACCAACAGACTGGTCCAGCTTCACCTTCAAGCAATCCCAATCATACCATGCTACCATCTGTCGACGGCATTGTGAACAGTATTTCACAGTTCAATTATGACCCAGAGGCTAATGTCACTTTTGACACATGGTATCAACGTTATGAGGATTTATTCACTGTTGATCTCGCCTCACAAGACGATGCTTGGAAGGTGCGAGTGTTGCTACGTAAATTGGGTCCGGCAGAATATGAACGGTACTGCAACCTAATTTTACCGCAGAAACCACGTGACAAGTGTTTCGATGATACAATAAAGCTGCTGCGTGAACATTTTGGAGACCACTCCTCATTATTCAGCATACGTTATCATTGCCTCAAGCTGACAATGAATGAAAATGATGATTTTCTTACTCACGTTGGCACAGTCAACCGAGAATGTGAGAGATTTCGACTCAGGTCCTTAACAGATGATCAGTTCAAAGCCTTGATTCTCATATGCAGTCTCCAATCTCCTCGTTTCACAGATATCCGAACTCGACTGCTCAATCAGCTAGAACAAAATCCCAAGTTAACATTACATGACATAGCTGATGAATATCAACGGCTGATTAATCTGCAGAAAGACACACACTTGGTCGAATCAACACCTCCGAGAAGCTCTGATATTCGTGCATTACGCAAGAGCAAAAATCTCTCATCAGCTACTCCTGACCCACCTACTTCTCCTAATGTTCCGCGGAAATCTACACATACTCGTCCAACTTCACAAAATACTGCAAAGAAGACCCCACCATCACCATGCTGGCATTGTGGCGCGTGGCACTTTGTAAAGTCTTGCCCATACAAAAATCATCGTTGCAGCAAGTGCAAAATCATCGGTCATAAAAATGGGTTTTGTCAGCCACGCCAACTCAGATATCATAATCCAGCAAAAGCTCAACAAAATGTCGGTCCTAAATCTCCAAAAAGATCACTGAGTCTACGTGCAACCTGTCAAGTCACAACACCAGCTATGCGGAAATATATTGACCTTCAGATGAATGGTCATGATACTCGTCTGCAGCTAGATACTGCCTCTGATATTACTGTTATATCAGAGAAACTTTGGAATTATATTGGCAGACCACCTATCACCAATACTTCCCAGTCTCTTCTCAGCGCCTGTGGTGGGCGGCTCAAACTAATTGGTGAACTCAAATGTTCTGTTTCCTTCCGCAATACCAAATTCACAGGAATTTGTTACGTCACGAAGAATGATTTAAATGTTTTGGGACTTGATTGGTTCGATCGTTTGCATCTGGCTAATGTCCCACTAAATTCGCTATGCAATGCAGCCAAGAAGCATAAAATGTTAGACAATTCCGGACGGAGCCGAAGCCGCAAACCCAACAGTCAGACGAAACGACAGGCGTCAACAACAAGCCCAAAGGTCCCAGATAAACCCCCAGGTAAACATCCTACTAATCATCCATCTTCTCAAAAGGGGAGGTGATATGTATCCACATATAGATATTTATGTGTGTGTGCATGTTGGTCTCTCTTTCTGTTTGCTCGGTTAGTCTGTGACCACTTCACTTGTATGAACTTGTCTCCTTTAATAATGTGTATTCTCCTTATATTATATTATATATAATATGAGTGTTTGTTGACAGTCCGTTGCTTGGTGACATATATCCATATATGTTTGTTGGCATGTCTGCTATATTCGCTATGTATAATTGGATCGACACTCCATTATAATTAGCCATTCATGTTAAGACTGTCTAATGATTTTTCCCACGCTTGTCTGAATTATTTATATATATTCGCATTCACAATTTGTGTGAACTACTTTACAACTTCTTGACTTGCTTACCACTTTGGTGTGAGACCATTTATTTTCGTCTCCTTGTATTTGGACAATAGAAGTATCATCGCAAACCTAGTGGTCTTCTGATTTCCGCCTTCTCGCGTCAGGACTATTAGTTTCTCGACCAGTCCATAACAATAATTCAGCGACGAGTACATAACAATTTGGCGACGGGAAAACTAGAACATAACAATTTGGCGACGGGGAAAAACTACTATTAACCACTCAGCAGCAGCAACATAACAATTTACTATGGATTATTCTAAATTGGAATTATTGTTTGAACAACAATTGAAATTAATGGAAATGTTCGTCAACCAACAGACTGGTCCAGCTTCACCTTCAAGCAATCCCAATCATACCATGCTACCATCTGTCGACGGCATTGTGAACAGTATTTCACAGTTCAATTATGACCCAGAGGCTAATGTCACTTTTGACACATGGTATCAACGTTATGAGGATTTATTCACTGTTGATCTCGCCTCACAAGACGATGCTTGGAAGGTGCGAGTGTTGCTACGTAAATTGGGTCCGGCAGAATATGAACGGTACTGCAACCTAATTTTACCGCAGAAACCACGTGACAAGTGTTTCGATGATACAATAAAGCTGCTGCGTGAACATTTTGGAGACCACTCCTCATTATTCAGCATACGTTATCATTGCCTCAAGCTGACAATGAATGAAAATGATGATTTTCTTACTCACGTTGGCACAGTCAACCGAGAATGTGAGAGATTTCGACTCAGGTCCTTAACAGATGATCAGTTCAAAGCCTTGATTCTCATATGCAGTCTCCAATCTCCTCGTTTCACAGATATCCGAACTCGACTGCTCAATCAGCTAGAACAAAATCCCAAGTTAACATTACATGACATAGCTGATGAATATCAACGGCTGATTAATCTGCAGAAAGACACACTTGGTCGAATCAACACCTCCGAGAAGCTCTGATATTCGTGCATTACGCAAGAGCAAAAATCTCTCATCAGCTACTCCTGACCCACCTACTTCTCCTAATGTTCCGCGGAAATCTACACATACTCGTCCAACTTCACAAAATACTGCAAAGAAGACCCCACCATCACCATGCTGGCATTGTGGCGCGTGGCACTTTGTAAAGTCTTGCCCATACAAAAATCATCGTTGCAGCAAGTGCAAAATCATCGGTCATAAAAATGGGTTTTGTCAGCCACGCCAACTCAGATATCATAATCCAGCAAAAGCTCAACAAAATGTCGGTCCTAAATCTCCAAAAAGATCACTGAGTCTACGTGCAACCTGTCAAGTCACAACACCAGCTATGCGGAAATATTTGACCTTCAGATGAATGGTCATGATACTCGTCTGCAGCTAGATACTGCCTCTGATATTACTGTTATATCAGAGAAACTTTGGAATTATATTGGCAGACCACCTATCACCAATAGTAATGGACTATCACTAGGCGGATATGGTGTCAATAGGTAGTCCGGTATACTATTGAAAATGTTTGTTTGAGGTAAATAGGCGGAAGAGTTATGAGACTCATACAGTTTATTTGTTCTTGTGCTTGTTATGGTTGGTGTGGGTGTTGTTGTTGTTGCTGCTGCTGCTACAAAACTAGTTGCCTTAGGGGTAACATTTTTGAAAGATAAACCTAATGAAAGACTAGATGGCCGTGTTGATATTTGCTGACTAGGCCGTTGTTGTTGTTGTTGTTGATGTTGTCTTTGTTGTGATGATGCTGATGATGATGATGAGGAATAATGAACAGTGTCAGTATTTATTGTTGAATTTAAATGTGTTAATGACGGCAGATGAAATGAATTATTAGCACTGTGTGAATAGTCTGTATGCACACTTAATGGTCTTGAATGTCTGATTCGTGAATCACTGACACCTTTATTTCGTGTATAATAAAGAGAAGATAAACCATCGGTTCTTAGTCCACTAGAACCCGAAGAATCACTCTGTTCATACATTGATTGGATCATTAGATTGGGAATGTTGTAGGCGACTTTATTACCATTGCCATTATTATTATTATTACTATTGTTAATTTGATTAGAACAGTTATACGGGAATGAAGTAGGCAATGAACTATTTGAAAGTCGAGCTGTTGGTGAACTTCTAGAAAGAATTAAACTGTTCCGTTGTCTTAGCCGGTCAGCTAAATTACTTGGTAAGTTTGATGGTTTGTAGGGCAATAGATGAGACCACCAGACTGTATCATTTTCTGAATCCAAATCACTGACTTCTTTATCAGTTAGTTTATCGGCTGCAATGCTCATATTATCCAATGGTTTAATATATGAATATCTGTTCTGATTGGATGTTCCATAAAGTGAAGTAGATAAAATCTGAAACAAATAAATCAAAACTACTTCAGTTACATAATGTATGGTAAACGTTTTAGAAAAATGACATCTATTCTATCAAGTGCTGGACAGTCGTTTCGTCCTAGCTTGAGACTCACCAGCAGTGCGCACCCACCGGGTGCTCGCTAGTGACTAGCTACAGGATAAAGTTTCCTGGTGTTTGAGTGAGAATTTGCGACCAGTAGATGGAAGTGAGGACAAATACTCATCGATGATTTTGGCTTGTGGTAGCGCACGAATTGATAGAAGTTAGAATTCCATGGGCTGGCCATTGTTAGGGTCTCAGTGGCTTGATGATCTAAGAGCTTGACCTGTAACTGGAAGGTCCCGGGTTCGAACGAAACCCAGTGGGTTCGTACTGGTAGTGAGTCCCAAACTAGGAAGAAACAGCTGTCCAGTACTTCCTGGTTCTCAATGGTTCTCTGAGTGATATCAGTCCGTGGTCAAACTTGGAAGACCTGTTTTCTTACTGTATGATAAATTTAATCTAAATCCACATATCTGTTAGTGAAAAATCGATCTGACCAGCAGACTTCCACAAATTATTCTGCAATTTGCACATTTCACCAGTAAACAGTTCCCCAGATGAAATGATATAAGTGAATATATTCGCGACCTATAACTGCCAGTATATGTTCATGGTCAAAATGTATCTTCCTCAACTGATCCTATCTATCTTGTAGGTGATGTCGGTTTGTAATCAACATCTAGTGCATAAAGTTTCAGTATTCTAACAGTAATTCCACAAAGAGTAGGATGATATCCCTTGACCTTTCATTGGATAGTTTTAGTTGTTGGCAGGCATCTTTTGATGAAGTTTTGTGGATATCCATATTACTGGATATTCTCACTAAGCCATGAGTTTTGCAATGTGTTCTGCTACTTTCAAATAATATTCGTACATAATTTCTTTTGTGTGCAGTTGGTTCGTTGTTATTGGTGTTGTTACAATTGAGCATTTGATATATATGTTTTAATCTTCAGATTTTAGTTCTCTTGTGTTCGCCTACCTAACGAAGTCATCTAAAAGTAGAATTTCATTCCCTAATTCCTTTTCCCTTGTAAATTTTGTGTCTTCAGAAATTATGTTGATTAGGTCATTATTCATTTTCAAAAGTGAACTGTGCGTCGGTGGCACAGTGGTCAGGACTCTCGTCGACCATGCGCATGGTCCGAGGTTCAATCCCCTGCCGACGCACACCTGATATCTATGGTCGGCCTGCAAAATTTGGGCTACCGATATCCATGCTGAAAATTCCATACTTGTACCAAAAATACAGTGTGGAATCAAGCTGTAAATAAAAAATTAAATTATCGTCTTTCATAAAATGCTTTGACAATATCTTTTGTGATATCATGGGGAAGAAAACGCGTATCTTAGATACCCATTCCCAGCCTTCTCTACTGTTTCATGCAAACAAAGCATTCATTGTGTGTTAGCTGGCCTATGCTACATGTAGTTTCCATCCTTATGTGCAGCTATAGGACGGGTCAGTTGACACACACACACACACACATAGCACCTGTAAAGTTGTGGCTAACGAAGAAAACGGAAGAAAACAGCACTAGGCCACGTCAGTGTAATCTAAAGGAAAACAGCGATCAGAAAAATGTGATGGAGAGCTACCTAGAATGGTGGCCACATTGCATACCTAACTGATAGAATTCAGTCTACACCGAAGAAAAGACTAGACACGTCACACCAGTTACTAGTGTTCAATCAAAGTAAATAACTTATTTTGCAAATTAATCTTCCATTAAAAAGAGACGTTATGTAAAGTAAGTTGGAATTATGTTTATTTAACCTTTCGGTGGGTAGGTTAGTTCTAAAACATATTAGTTTGTTTATTAGATATATGATACACTGAAACAGTATTTTTAACTGGATGACGTTTCGAACAAAATTTATCGCTCATAATCATGTCAATTGTAATCACACGCCTTCTAAACTTGAGTTTTATAGTTTTCTTTGTTTTCTCCTATTTGTCATAGGGGTAGTAGAATTTTCCAGATATGTGGGACAGGTGTTTTTCTATTTATTAATAGTGAAGAAAGTTAACAATACAAATTTGAATTAAAACAAAAATGTAATAAAACTATGCGAAACAGACTCATTAACTGTGAACTCACTTGATTGTTTGATTCTTGCTTAGAGCATGTTGGATTACGATTAGGGCTACTGTGGGAAGAGTATGATGCATCTGAACTGATAATGCTGTTAGATCTAACTGATTGATTATCTCTGACTAGTGAAGTTGTTCTTTGTGGTGGGCGTGGAGGACGAAGAACTGCAGCTGAGCACTGAACGGATTGATAGTGTGGATGAATTCTGGCACTTTCTCTACGACGAGAGTTACGAAGTGATGGATATGCATTGTTTGAATTACAGTAATCCTTGTTGTCATCAGATTTACTGAAAATATCATGTCTGACACTTTCATATCCTAAGACGCTATGCGCTTTAGACAATCTTGCACAGTGTAGTTCAGGCAAATTGCAAAGTAACTCAGGGCATGCCTTCGATACTGTCTTTTGTTCAGTATGGTTTTGTGTACAAAAAGTATTTGTTGACAGTTCATTCGCAAGCCTTTACAACAAAGGAAAAAATAAATGAACATTGTACATTCATTACATCAAACAAGAAGATGAATATCTTTCAGCTTTTAGGTGTATCCAAAATTAACCATCAGCAACTCTTCTTGAAACGAAGATTTATCGCTCAAGAGGATCATTCAAACAAAATCTCCTCAGTAAAAAAATGAAATGATTAATACCAGAAAATGTACGTGGCGGAAATCTTATTTTTTAAAAAAATGCTTGTTTGTTTTATTATTATTATTGTTCCCTTGGGTTCCTAGTGGAACATACGGCTTCAACTGCACGTCTCCGCTTGCTTCTGTCTTTTGCTGTACTTTTCACCTGTATCCATGTTAGTCCATACTGTTTCACCCCCTTTTCACACGATCTCCTCCATGTCCCCCTTGGACGTCCCTCTCGGGTCCCAGTCGATCAGTGTCCTAACGCGCGATGTCATCCAGCGGCCTCCTCAGCGAGTGTCCAATCCATCTCCACTTTCTTTTGCATATTTGTTGGGCGTTTGGTTCTTGTTTTGTTTGTTTCCATAGTTTCCTGTTAGTGATTCTTTCTGGCCATCTGATCTTAAAATGCTTTTTTTGCGTAATCTAATACTCAATATAGCCGATCAGCGACAAAATCTACCAAGAAAATGTATTACATCCTAATTATGACACCTAGAAAATCTGAAGTTGGTAAGCGAAAAGAAAAGACACAGCGCTTGACTCAAGGGAATGTGTTTATTTTTTTCATGAAATGCAACCGAAATACAATAAATCTACTAAAAATGTACAGATTCTAAAACTTAATGAAATGAATACCTAAATGAACTTATACGTGTAAAATTCCCTAGATTGCTGATTCCAATCGAATAAAGAAAGACATTTGATACAATCAGTTTTTTGATAAATTCAAATGCTGGCTGCCTTTAATGTAATCTGACAAAGGTTTTGACAAAATAAGTGTGAAAAGTTTTGTCAATGAATGAAATATATAATGTGAAATAATAGTGGTCATAAATTATTTATTTAAATGCGTTGTCGTCACTTGTCAGGTGATTGGAAACAACAAGTGGTAAAAACCCCTTTTTTCGGTTAAAACGTCCATCAACAAGGTAATCATAGTGAAAATGGAAGTAGCTTAAATGTTGAAAAAGATTCATGAGATGAAATCAGAAGATTTTATCAGATATGCTAAGAAGATTTTCGCAGATAAAATGATGGGAAAGTATAACAGTGAGTTACTAATAACCTTATCAATAAATAGCTTCCTTATAGTGTAAAAGATGCTTTGAAGGGCAGCTTATCAGTTTATGCCATTAGGCAAATTACTGTAAGACTGATGAAAAGGCCTTCAATAGCGTTGGCTGCGAAGTAACTTGGAAACTGCTTCAACACTATGGCGTACCCCAAACCTTTATCAGTCACATTCAACAGCAGTATAACAGTGCCACATGTCAAGTGACCAACAACAGAGAACTCAGTGAAGCCTTTGAAGTGAAGACAGGAGTAAAACTAGGCTGCCAAATACCACCGACAATGTTTCTAACTGTGGTGAACTAGATTATGCGAAAGACTGTGCAGGAGGAGCTATAAGAAAGGAATACATTGGACCGATCAGAAAACCCCAGAAGATCTGGATTTTGCAGAAGACTTACGTCTAGTGTCACACAAGCTCAGAAATCTACGGGCGAAAACCAACAAGTAATTGGGGTGAACATAGAAAAGACGGAGGCGGTGAAGATAACCAACCGAGAGCAGCACCAACCAGCACCAACCATTATCAAATTGGGGAAAGATCTGATGGAGGTTACTTTCTTCACTTACCTAGAAACCATCATTTCAACTACAGGCAGAACAAATGAGAATATCAAAACCGGAATCCGGAAGGTGGGTGGAGCCTGACTGCTAAACGACGAGTTGAGCATGGGCTGAAAGTGATATGGAGGAAATCGTGTAAATGGTAGATGAGGGCCTATGGGCAATCTTGGGACCAGATAAAGCGGACTGTAGAGAACAAGAAGAAATGGAAATAGGTTTCACTCGGAACCCAAGGGATAAGTAATAAACAGTAATACGATATATAATGATCGTAAAGTTTTATCTACTGCTTAGATTCTGTCAGTCATGCTTACAGAGTCACCATTTAACTGAGAACACTATCTGGCGACTAATTTGATGGTTGCAGTTCAACTCTACAGTAAAGTCAACCATGATTTCAACAGTATACTGATCTCGTAGGTTAGTATTCATAAGATTGTAAGAATGAATTTAAGGATCAGTTCCAGCTAACAGGAATGAATACTAAGATCAGAACATTTTTAACGATTAAACCTTCTGATAAAACCAAAGTAACAGAGCAGAACAATCAAACAACTTAAATATAAATTCTCTAATGATCCATCCATAGGTGTTGAGTGAGATGATATGTCGTGTGTGATAACACGGAAAATATTTCATAGATGTTAATTTATCGGAATTAATATCTCCTTATAAATTTGATTGATTGTGAATTTCCTGCAGTTAATTAAGCATGCAAAATTATGCTTGAATAATTCTGCTTTCCTTGTGTAAATGATGAATAAAGGAGTGTTGTTGTTAATCTAATTTGCAATTAATCCGTATAATTTATGTGTAGTGATATTGCACAGCTGAGAAGACTAAAGTATGTATTTCCCTAGAGATACTAATAGGAATGACGACTATTCAAAAATATGAGCTTAGACTATGTTAAAAAAAACCTTGATAAAAAGCTCATTTACGTTTCCATAACTTTCCACATAAACAAGGTACTAATTTAGGAACATCTTTGATTTTAAAAATAATCTCCAAGGTCTCTATTCTGGTAAATGTTAGCACACTTTCGTCATAATTCGCAGTCTGATACATAAAGTAGTATCATAGAAAGACAACTGAACTGAATTCTCAACGTGAAACTTTGTAAAAAAAATTGACGACACTGGTGTCTCCTCATTTGCGGTTAGATTTTTCTCCCTTGACTAGAGATTTCCATGGGGAGGTACGAAAAGATGAGTCTTATCTCATTTTTTCCAGCTGTGCCTTCGAACAGAATATTAAAAGAGAAGGTGGTTTGCTTAAAGCTTGGTGTACCAAAAAGACCTCCATCAACACAACGGATATAGTTTCTCTTATACAGTTTGCTTAAGTCTATTAAAATATCACTTCTAATAGTGTTCTTCACTCTGGAGAGTATTTAGTGTTCACAATCTGCTTATTCTCAAGTTTCTCACTATCCTCGTTGGAAGGCAACTTATCCCAATATAGGAGGTGACCGTTCCTGAGTGGTGTCTTTCGTTCACAGAATGTACTCCTGGACCTTTTGTAATCGTGTCATTCAACAAAATATCGTGTATTTCCCGAAGAAGAAAAACAAGAGATATTATCATTGGTTTCAGCTTCAGGTCAATTAGAGCTGTGTCACACGATCTATTGTCGGTCGATTGATCTTTTATTTGAGTATACTGGACGAACAGAAAATACTACTGAGAATTCTGTACATTATATAAACATTGTTCAGAATAAAGCTATTGTTATTACTATTAGTTACCACTCTTCAGTGGGTCGGTGGCATAGTGGTAGAATGCTCACCAATCACTCATGTAGTCCGGGGTTCGATCCACGGCCACCAACGCACTCCTTTACCTCAGTAGTCTAGTAATAAGACTGATAAAGAGGGATTGTTGAGTATGAGACTAGCAACACCATCCCGTAAAAGTAAACACTACTGCTGCTGAAAATTTAAAGCTCTAGTTAGAAGCGCTATGTTCCACTGGGAACACAAAGGAACAAAAAACCACACTTCAGAAAGTCACACATATAAGTAGAGCAAAGAAATGCAATAAAATTATAATAAAAGGAAATATGTGGGAGAAAGAACAACTGATTGAAGAATAATAAGAATTTTTTCATGAATCCAGAAGAATCTAAAGAGTAGAGAATCTAAAGTACATTCTCATCATTGAGAATAATCCCTAGCCGTGAGAAAGTACCAGTCTTCAGCGGTTAGTCGTTCTTAGTGTTCCATTGAGGCACTCTACTCGTCCATACATGGCTCAAACCAACAGTCAATGTCTTCATGTTAAATTTTTGTCAGATGACACTTAAACGTTTTCAACCCAATTCTTTATTAGCCAATACTGCTCATCAAGTAAGGTGGTGAATTAGCAGGCATGTTACGACTTCAAAACCTCATCGATTGACTTTCACTCTTTATCTAACAACTAACTAACTTCATTATTCGAGTATTGGTTTGCAGGGATTTGGTTGACTGGTTACAGGATTTCATCATGAACTGACATTGATTAGAGAACCATTGGAAACCTGGGAGTATTGAACAGCTCGTTGGCGTCTGGCTCTATTCAGGTAGGTAGTTACCTGGGGTTCTAGTGGGAAGTCGTGACCAGTAGGGTGCAGCAGGTCGGGTGTGAGAACAAATACTAGCCGAAGACATTAACTAGCGGTTGCGCCATATCGTTAATTACCAGAAGGTAGAATTCATGAGCCATTGGATCGGGTCCTAGCGGCTTAATGGTATACTGGCTCGCCTTGTCACCAGAAGGTCCTGGGTTCGAACCCCGTAAGTGAGTGTGTACCACGGAAAAGTTCCAAAATAGGATGGAGGAGACAGCTGTCCAGTACACCCAGATTTCCAATGGTTCTCTAACCAGTGTCAGATCATGATGAAATCCAGTAACTAGCTTCATTATTACGTACCATATAATATCATCTAATACTGAGAAGATGAATGCAGACACCCCCGGTGAAAGACAAGCAGTCTCTTTATATCTTCTATTTCCAACTTCAGTGTATCAGTCGTATGGAAAGACGTAGTGAATTACAGCACAGCAGCTAGGTAGTAGTAGTACTATTGAGGTGAGAACTGGCTGCTAGCCAAATTGGTAGACGTTAATTTACGTCAAGGTTTATGTCCCAAATATCAGTCGTGAGAAAAATAAGAACAAAGACTTTGCGTGGACGGATACAATTAGCATAT